AAATCTTGTCTGCCCGTGTCCTTAGAGCAATGTGGCTACAACCAACAACTAAAAGCATCAGATCCAGAACTGTGTTAGTTTCTAGGTTCCCTCAACAGTACAGGGGCAGAATTAGGTGTCTTAAAATAGCATCTATAAAAATTACATAATGGGTGGGGCGTAAGTAAAAGATGCATGAGAAGTCCCAAAATATAGCCTTCAGAAAAACAATAAGAACTGGTGTACATTGAAAAACCCACTCATCTTGGAAGCTTAGCTGCCTAATCCAGTGTTACCTGGAAGTGCCTCCTGCCCCTTGGGGTTCACAGTCTCAAACCTTCCCTGAAAGACAATTACCTGTTACATTTATTTCTTCTTGTTTTGAAAGAAGTCTAGAGGGTGAGGTACTATTACCTCTTTCCATGTAGTAGTTCAGTTGTTGAACAACACATGTGAGATGTAGGAGACCACATTCAATTCCCTTCTCCATCTGTCAGGATTCCCATCTGCTTCCCAGAAAAATGCTCTAACCACCAGACTCTAAGTGAACATAGAGGTATGTGGGGAGGACTCTCAGCATCTCCTGTTCAAACTATTCTACTTCGCATACAAGAATGATATATTTTATTTATCCAGCAAGAAAGAGAATACTCTAGGAGCATACTCTAGGGCAGAGCTGTCTGACAGCCCATGGGCTACATGCAGCCCATGAAGGGTTAACATGTGGCCCTTGGACTTCCACAGCCCCTATTGTCCTGGCTTCAGCAGCAGCTGGGGTCTCAGGGCTCCCCTTCCCTCCTCTAGCTTCTTCTACATTACCACCCCCCTCTCAAGGAGGCAGAGAAGCACAGCACAGCTTGCAGTGCTGGGGAAGCCAGCAGCTCATAGGACCCATGGGGTGCAGTGCAACAGGGGAACCAGCTGAAGATGTGGTGGGGTGCTACACCACATGTTGTGCCCACTTCTGGGCACATGAAATGCAGGGAGGGGGGTTCCTGCCCACATGCACATGCAAGGCATGGAACCCGGGAGCTCTGTGGCCCTCACTAGTACTGCCCCTGAGGTGTGCAGCATCCCTCTGCTGCTGGCCATTGGGGCATGTGGCCCTCAGCTGCTTTGCCTATGCTCCCCAGCCTCCCTCACCTCCTATCTCTCACCTCCCACAACTTGATCTTCAGGTCTTTTAACTGGGGAAGCTGCCTTCAGAGGCTGTGGTAGCCTCTTCCTGGGTGGCTTTCTTTTGCAGCCCTTGGAACTTCTGTGCTCCAAACTCTACCAGGTGTGTTTCCCTTTAAGATAGCCCTTATTGAGACTTATGGGATATAATCATGACCTATGTCCTCCCCTATAGCCACAACCATGCCTTGCAAGTAATACTCAGTATTTGGAGGGGACACCCTGACCCTGAGTCTGCATTTGTCCCTGCAGGCCTCAAGCCTTTGTTGGGGTTTAAACTTTTATGGCTTTGGCCGCTTTCCTCTGGCTGTGCCTCCAGCCCAGGCTGGACCTTAGCTTCTGGGCCCGAGCCTTGGTCTTGCCCTCTCAGGCTCTGGACCCTGGCCCTGGTCTCACCTTCTTGACCAGTCTTAAGCATAACAGAAATATAAGCAAACTGCTTCCCACTAAAGTTCTCCC